ATTTGCACTTGCAGATTTTATTTACCACATGGCTTGAGTATAGATAAGAGTGGTAACTACTGGGTCACTGATGTAGCTCTCCATCAGGTATGTTTTTGAAGCTTTAATAGCAGGGTCTTATTTTTTTTTTCCAAAAATTATTTATCTAGGCCTGTTACGATAAACATTAAGAATATGCCTACAGAAGTTGATCCACAGGGCTTTCATGATATATAGTCATGTTGGATAATTTGCTACATGGGCATAGTATTCAGAAATGAAAGTATCTGTTTTAAAACAATGGTTCTTTTGAAAAAGAACAGATTTTTCTGCTGCATCTTTATCAATCTTTATCATCTTATCAATTTTCCCATGTACTTAAATATCGAATATGAAACTAATTAATTTGCTGTAATCACAAGAAGTTTGTATTTTAGGCAGAAATTTCCTAGAATCAACACTATTGGAAAACCGGTAATAGATGTCATAGTCAATATATTAAGATAATGTTGAGAATATAAATTTATTTTATACACAGTAATAGATATTTTTCCATAGGCAGTCATCCCTCTTGTATTTCATGTTCTGTAACTGAAACCTCTTCTCTTTTCCCATTGACTAAAAATAAAAGGTTTTCAAACTGGGAGCAGATGACAAAAAAACATTACTGATCTTAGGAGTGGCTTTGCAACCAGGCAGTGACAAAAATCATTTCTGTCAACCAACCGATGTGGCTGTGGATCCAGTCACTGGCAGCATTTATGTCGCTGATGGCTACTGTAACAGTCGAATCATTCAGTTCTCTCCAAAGGGATTGTACATCATGCAGTGGGGAGAAGGTACAGGTCAGAGCTCTCAGTACTTTATGCATCCTGCTGTTACCATTAACTCATTGTGAACCATGACATTGCTGATGTTGCTATTATTTCTGTTTATAAATTTCTATCACTGAAACACCTTCCAGAGCCTAGCTGAATTTCACTTGTGTCATTGCGTTACAATTTTTTCTCTTTTGTTCGTACAGCTACTTGTTATATATTCACTGAAAATGAAAAATGATAATTTGTTAGCATGTTTTCAGTACAAATATTGGCATCTTATCAAATAAAATGTTCAGACTTCCACAAAAACTTAATTTGTTTTCTTAAATATCTGATCAGATAGTATAAGCTTTTACCATTTTTGCCAAATCTGTGCCATGATCCCATCTATGTTAAAGTTTTAGGAATAATTACATTTCTGCCTGACTCAGATTTATGTGTCAGGGATTAAACTATGCCAAATATTATAGGGAAATAGAGAATTCATAAATTCATAAATGCAAAAGTCTACCACAGTTTACCTACCTAAAGGGGTAAAACCGCGAGGAGAAGAAAGCAAGCTGACATTCTTTTTCAAATGCTATATTGTGTTATGTGACATATTGCTGTTTCTCAGCAGAACTGATAGTTTCAGTGTGTCCTTTAATGAAAACCTGGATATTTTGTATTGCAGAAACTTCTTTAGGCAGAGCCAGACCTGGACAGTTTCATATCCCTCACAGCTTAGCCCTGATTCCTGACTTCTGTCAGCTATGTGTTGCAGACAGGGAAAACAGTCGAATTCAGTGCTTCATGTTAGAGACTGGGGAATTCATAAGAGAGATCAAGCACAAATCATTTGGAAGAGAATTGTTTGCAGTTTCATATGTTCCAGGTAATCTTTTTTCCTGTTCTTCAGGTTTCAAGTAGTTGCTTTATGCCAGTATGTCACAGTATAGTGTTATTTCATGAAGAGTGCTGTCATAGGCATGATGTAATGAAATATTTTAAGAACTGTCCTGTTTTCCTGCTTGCAGGATGAGGGAAGTTTGCATATAATCTCTGCTTCTGAGAAATGACTGACTAGACTCCCTAAGTGTGATGTCAACAAGCAGATGACATCTTCCTGATGATCTCTATTTGCTTCCCAGTGAATGTACACTCAATTAGTTAATTACAATGTTTTAAAATAGTCAAGCTCTATTGAAGAGAGCAAAATAAAGAGCTTCCAAACTATTAAGAAGTTTTTGGGTTTCACAAAACATAAAATCTGAAAACAAACAATTTGAAAAAGTTGTGGGTTTTAATATCATAATCTGACTAACAATTACTGTATTAAATTTTGGGGTTAGATTTTTAATACCGATACTGAAGGTAATGGGAATGTCAAGAACTGGATAAGGAATTTTGGCACGTCAGGCTCCTGACTGTAGTTGGTTTCAAATTTAATATCAGAGTTATTGCTCTTGCATCTGTCAAGAACATAAATGCTGTCCTGGATGAGACACTTGATACCTATAGCCCAGTGCTCTGTCTCTGACAGTGGCAGCAAGAGAGGCATTCTGAGGAGAATGTGTAAGCCTGGCTGCATTTTGTGGTCCATTCCTCTCTTACTCCTCATGCATCCACTAGCACTTTATTTAAGGGTGTTAGCAGGTAGCTCCTGACCGCTTCTTCATAGAAGCTTTCTGTAGATCTATTGTCTATGAATTTTCCTAATCCCATTTTGAACTGGCTTGTACTATCTCTGCCTCCTTGACCTCCTGCCGTTACAGGCTCCAGAAGTTCACTGCCCACTTTATTTTCTTAATTTAAAAGTGACCTAGTTTCACTGAGTGCTTCTCAGTCCCAGTTGGTTTTGGAAGTTGGTGAGTAACAGTTTCACACTCCCCATATCTGCTGCCTTAGTTTTCACCTCTCCAATCCAAAGAACCTCAGCAACCTTAATCTTTCCCCATAAACCATTTAATTGCTTCAGCCTCTTGAGTATTGTAGTTGCCTTTCTCTTCTAGCATCTTTAATTTCATTAAGATCTTCTTGAGATGCAGAGAGTAAAACAGCACTCAGTACTCAAGATGTAGGTGTGGTAAGTTTTTGCATAGTGGCAAAACTGTTCCCTCCATTCCTAATTCTCTTCCTGATGATGCCTAACATTCTGCTCAAGTTTTGGCTGTCACTGTACATGGAGCCAAAGATTTCAGAGACCTTTCAGTGATGGCTTGGAGATGTCTCTCTTGAGTTGTAGCTGCCAGTTCCAAGCTACACATCACATAGGCATGACCTAGATTATGTCTTTGCAGAAGCATCATTCTATGTTTGTCTTTGCTGAAGCTCTTCTGTCATGTTTGACAACTCAATTATAAAAAGTCTTTTTGGACTTTTTCAATATTATCAAGCTTTTGAGTATTCCACAGAACTCAGTACCTTCTTCAGACTGGGAGATGTCACTGTTCACCCAATCTTCAGGTCACTGATGAAGACTATTGAATGAAATTGTTTACAGCTCTGATTCCTGCAGGATCACAATACTCATACTTCTCTGTCCTGAAAAATAAGCTCTGCCCTTAAGCTCTGCTCTTTGCTTCCTTTTCATAAATGGATCTTTCATTCAGTCCTCTGAAAAATCACATTCTTTAATAACCTCTGATACCCGACCTTCTCAAAGGTTTTCAGAAAATCCAAGTATTTCTACTAAATATCCTTTACCTGTGTGCTTTTTCTCCCCATTCAGGAGAGATGTTTCCTGAACACAACTTCCCCTTAGAGAAGCCATGCCAACTGGGGATGGCAGCCAGAATTGTTGATGTGCAGTTCCCAGGCACCCTTTTGTGACCTTCATGCAGATGGACATTACTTTGGCAGTCTGACAGACTGTTTGCAGTGCTAGGTTACTCAGCTTGGCCTGAGGTCTGTAATTTAACATTTGTCTTCTTTCTGAACTTGAGTGAATGCCATCCAAACCTGGTAAATTATTAAACTCCAACTTGTTTAACACCTTTTGTGTATTTCCTTCCAGTTGAGTTGGCTCCTTTGACCTCTTTGCTATGAAAAAAATTGAGTGTCAGAATCTTCCCAACATATTCAACAGAAAAAATTGACAAAAACTGAGCTGCTTTGTCACAGGCCCCTCATCCCTGAGTCCCCCTTTCACACCTTTTCCTCTTGTGGTCCCACCGATTCCCTGACTGGCTTTCTGCTTTTGATGCATTCGAAGAACTTTCCATGATCGAATCAAGCAAGGTGTTCTTCAGATTATTTTTTTTAACCCTTGCACATTCTTTTTACATTTAATGAATCTGTGAAATATTACCCTGCTTGTTCTTGTCATTTGGACAAGGTATGTATCTCTTAAATGCCAAACTTTCACCTGTTATACCTTACTTAACTTTCCTCCTGTTATTTAGCTTCCTATTGAGTTGCCTTTCTGTCTTATCTCCAGTCTTTTCTCTGACAGCCTTTTTTCATCTATATTATTACAATTAATCATCACTGTAGTTTGCTGTGTGTGGGTTGTAAAAGCAAATCCGTTGTTGTTGCAGGTGGTCTCCTCTTTGCAGTTAATGGAGCACCTTATCCTGGAGAGGCAGAACCAGTGCAAGGGTTTATGATGAACTTCTCTACTGGAGAAATAATTGATACTTTCATTCCGCTTAGAAAGGTACAGTATTGCATGGAGTGCATGGTGCATATAATT